ATTGTTGAGGCGGAATCAAGTCATCTCGTTCCCAACTTCTCCGACTCCGAAAACTGACCACGCATCCGGCTTCTCTTTCATGGGATGCCAACATGTATTGGCAGAAGCTTGAATGACTCCGGCTACAGCGTGCCTGCGGCCGTCCACGCCCTTCGACAGTTCCTGCTCCAAGTGTGGAAGCAGTAATACCGGACCTTTTTCCTCACCACCGTGGACACCGGATAGGTATCGCACGCATCCCGGCATCTGGTAAGGCGGCCTGATCGTTGGCCGTTTCTAAGGCATAATAGTCCGCTTTATGCGAGAGTCTGATTACCCGAACTCCCCTGGGCGCGTGTCAATCCTCACTCTTTTCTTATTGTTGTGGGCGATCGTCCAGTTGAGCTGTCCGATGCCTATACGCATCCTGACACTGCTGTTATCCCGTACGCCGCCGTGTCGATGGAGAGCCTTCAATGGATCCGAGGCCATCTCGGAGCAGCAAGCCTGCATGTTGTGTACGTCAGTGACTCTATGTCGGCCCTAGCCAAGGTTCTGACATCTGACGTAGTCTTCAGGCGGAGATGATGCCGCGCGGCGAACCTTTCGCCAAACTTGGGTGCTTTTCGCTTCCACACGGATCCTGGCAGTCAGGCCTTCAAAACGCGCCTCTAATACAGTTATGCACTTGGCATTAATGGTGCACCTGTCTCCCAAATACGCTCTGCGGGCGGTGCAGTATGTCTTCTCTGCGTGGGAGAGACAAAGGCAGGTGTGCAATCACCGCAATACGGGTCCAGACGAGCTGCCACTGATGTTCCGCACATTAGAGGTACCGAGGTCTGGGACTCTCCACCAGAGTCTCCACGTTCCGAGGGAGCACTGGGCGAATATTCGATGTGATGTTCGGAGAAACCACGCATAGTCGTATTGCCAGAGCGTTTCCGTCCGTCGACCATTGTCTTAGCGCACAACGTCCGACCTCCCTATCGCGGACCATCTTGGCGCGCCTGACCCGTTCTCTACTAATGCAGTCATTTCTCCACGCCATGATACCATTTCCGGATGCTGCCATTTCTGGATACTAGTTCAAAACTGCACCGATCTCGCTACCTTACTCTATGGCTCTGCAGGTCCGAGCCCTTCCCGGGTTCTACCTGCCGCCCATTACGGTTCAACCCCGTTGAGCCGTTTGTTTTCAGACTTCAGTCCCGATCCGACGATATCTGTTGTCCCGGTGCGCGGATGCCATGTTTGGATAGGTCTCTTTGACGCGCCGGCTACTCGGCCGGTGTCACTGCCCCGGTATCTCAAGAACTCTATGTACATTGCTGCAGTCTTCGAGGACGTCGTGGTTCTGTCTGGGCTCCTGTCCCATATATCAGTGCGTCAACTTTTATCCGGGGTGCTGGATTCGGTACCGTCAGTAATTACCGCTACCTCAGGAAATTCTCCCAATATGTCATATCCGCCTTTCATGCCGTCAATCAAAAGACCTCTCATCACAGATATCGGATCCCGAATCCAATGCTTCTCGTCTACGGCGCTGCAAGCACTCGAGATGCTCGTGCCTGCTCTAACCGTGACACTTGCAATGAGGTGGGTATGTTGATCATAACTGCGCATTCTTGACCACTGACTGCGCCTGTCAAGATGACATGAAGACCGACCACATACGACACGACACGACGCGCGCGCCCTCATTCCGGGCGCCATTTCCTGACAGTCTTCTGCTTTCGTTCGCAAGAAATACCTCGTGGAGCCCTAACTCGTGGAGCGAACGTCCGACAAAGTGTTCGAACGAAGGATGCACAACGTCTTCCTCGATTCTTGATCCTCTATGCGCGATCCCGGTTCAGCAGGCACCTCTATCAGCTTCTACACCACCTCGGCGATTCACACGCCGCATCGAGCACCCAGGGACATGTCACCTTATATACCCAGCTGCAGCAATGCCCAATGTCGTGCGCGCAGATGAACGTCAATGTACCAATGTCCGACGTCGGTACATTGTCATCCGCCCACGCCACCCATTGATCTGGTCCGACTACGCGATCCGTGGCGACTTGGTTTTGCGGCTCCGTCCGTCGGGGAACGCCACGTCGTCGATGCACGAGATTGAACCCCGCGCCGGTAACTTCTGACGCTGCAGCGCTTGCACTTAGCCAGCGTCCCGGCATCGAATACCCGCCTTCCGCACTGGGCTTTTCTGCGACACTGGGCATGCTCCTATGGCCTCCGGGGCCAGAATACGGGGACTGGCGCGGTGCGAAGTTTGGAATTGCTCACCTCTATCCGCGACTGATGCAATTTGCAGGAATCGGAGATTCCCCTGACGCTTCAGGATGGTACTCATGGAGACTGGCCTCGACACATTGTTCGACACGTTCTCGAAACGGCTGCAGTGCACGAACCGCGATGACATGCGAGCCGTGCTGTCTGTTTACTTGGGATGGTGCGTGGACTGAGCTGCGATCTGACATCATCCATGCCGCATGGGAACCTTTCCTTTCAGGGGCATATGCGATGTTGTTGCATCTGCCATCGTCGAGACAGCTGCACTGACAGTATCAGAAAAGGCGTGCTGGATGATCACGAGAGTGCGTGCGTAGCTTGCCAGAAGAATTGGGCGATCATTTTCGTCCAATCAGGAGAGACCCAAGCCTCACATTGTGGCCGCCCTCGCACGGCGCATATGGTCTGTATTGTATCGCCTAGCTCGCCACCGGTGACATCAGATTGTCTTGTGGCCTGGCTGGACTTCACATTACTTATGTTGAAAGGCTGAGAGGCCAGGAGAGTTACGGCAGGCAAGAATGACGTGTCATTTCTTCTTCAGTTTTCGCGGCCTCGACCAGCTGTACCCATGACTTCACGATCGACAGAAGGATAAGTACCGCGATCACGGGTGTGTTAAGCCTGGGATCCTGTTAATGTACGCTGACAATTCATATTCAGTGGGATTGGTCATTGACCCCGGTGGAGACCTCGAGGATCTTGCCGCGAAAACGATAAGTAGATGTTACATACAGCCGGTGAGAAAGGGACGGACTGCAGGAGCCGTCTCGTCGGCCACTCGCCGGATGCATTTACTCCTGGGAGAACACCCACACGTTGACACAGCAAGTTGATGCTACTAGAAGGTACTTACCGCGACCCTGCAGGTACGTGCCGCGCTGTCTGAACTTTCCGGGTGCTACTGTGCATCCATCGTCCAGACCGGGAGCTCAATATCACCAGTGACCCTCTATCGACTCCGAAGGCATTCCGCTCGTCCTCCGGTTACGACATGCAGCTTCATCCCAGGCGTCTTGGCCGGGCGATTACCGCCACGCAGATACCGTGTATCGGTTGAGGCGCTCAGCGACTGCTCACGAGCGACCCGTGTATCGGAGCAAGTGAGCAGACTACCGCACGCCCCGGATGGACGCTACCAAACAAGTCCCTGGATGCCTACCTCCGTCAAACTCTGTCAGCCCTGAAACCCGATCGGTAGATCCCTACGTCGATGACGTGAGGCGTCAGGTATGGAGCATTGAGTCGCAAACAAACCTTCAACTGAGGACGAAGGACCGGCACTCACCGTGTTCACTATGGGAATCTATGACAGTGAAGCAAAGTATGGTGCGTAAGTCGTGCTTGCCTGACGCAGTGCGCCAATGCTATATGACGGTGGAATGGTCACACGACACCGTATGTACTCAAATACATTGTTCATTACTGGATTCGCACCCATGGCACACGCTGTTGACGGCGGAGCGCCGAATAGCATTACTACTCGTGAGGGCAGTGATCATGAGACTACGAAGCAGCCTGCAGAAGTGAGGTACACATGGATGGCCTACGCAACAGAAGACTGCGTGCAGGGTCATCAGGTTCGAACGATGCCACAATTAATTTAATGACGTACCTGCCGCCAACCGTGATCCATCAGTTGCAGGATTGAATTGAGAGTACAAAGATGTTGGTATGGATCCACATTAGTACATAGAACCTGCTGGCTTGCTGTATCACGGCAAGGCTGCCTTCTTCTTTCGCTTGGAAATACCAGCAGAGGGCCTCCCCACATGTGTGTCCTCCTCTCTGTCTCTTTTGAGCATCGCGGCCGCCCTGCCAGTGCGCGATGTTTCTGCAGGGGCATCGACACCCGCGGGCTTGACGAAGCCGGTAGCGCCAGCAAGAGGGTCCTGCTCCGTCATATCACGAAGCGACGGCGGAGGATGCACAACATTGGCTTCACGTATCAGCATCTGCGCGGTCTTCTTCCTTGGCTTTTTGGCATCGTTCCGGGGCGCAGCAGGAGGCGCTCGAACCCCGATATTGACGTCGGGCGTTTCGCATCCTTCTGGGGCGATTTCTCGTCCGCGTTATGCGCAGCATCTCTCTCGTCACCGGCAAGAGACAACGGCTTCTAGAGCAAGAAAATTGTCAAGGGGGAGAGAGGACGTTAAATCAGGGCGTACCTCCTGCGTCACAACTTCTTGGCCGCGTGCATCGAACGTCCGACGGCCTCTTAGCTTTGGCGGACTGGGCGGATGCGTGCTCGAGGATGCTCTTTCTGGGTCCTCCGAGCTCGGGGAAGAGAACAGAAATGGAACGTAGGAGTTCTCGTGGGCGACCACTGCTCTGCACGGTGATCTCAACGACAGACGGTCATGGACGAGAGACAACTCACCTAGGCTGCGACGCTGTTGAGCGGATACCCCAAGCCTCCTTGATATCGTTCGAAACCTCCCATTCGGCGTCATCTTTGACCCTAGCTTGCTCCGCCTCTACTTGGGCTTCCAGTTTCGCCCGCTGAGCATTCTGCATGAAACGTAAGCTGAGAGTACCATTGCTGAGGGTCTTCCCGGCCATGTGCAGTGATTGTAGGATAGAGTGTAACTGTATAATAAAATGCTCTTGAGATCGGGACAAAACTTCGAAGCGTGCAGCTGCAAGGGAACGGGTCGGCCACCGGGCGCATGTGCAACCACCGATCGCGATCAAAAAGGAGCAAAACAGTCCCCCACAAAAGGCTTTACTCCCGCCGGGACTCGAACCCGGAACCTTCAGATAAATCCAAACATAGGAATCTGATATCATAACCATTAGACGACGAGAGCTGACAACGCAGTTGTCCAATAGACCGTCTATATAGCTTAGCAGTTCAGACTGGCAGACCGCTCGATATGGATGGCCTGTGGCAGCGGTCTCAGCCTCACGTTACAACAATGCTCTTGTCTCAGCACCGGGTCTCCAAAAGTGAAGTGTTGTATTACGTGCCCAATTTTGTTACCGTAGAGGAAGAATCCTTACTGATACGGAAGGTAAGCTATGGGATTATCCCTCCATTTCATGAATTGATATGAACGTACGCTACAGATCATTGCATCTCCACAACCGAGGTGGAAACAACTTGCAAACCGTCGGTGCGTACGAAGTTCTTTCCATGCGGAGATTGTCTGACGCATGAAATCAATCAAACATGAATGTTAGACTACAGATATGGGGTCAGGATGCCTGCTCTCGACGCGCGGCCGTTCATGTAACTCCCTCACAGGCGGAAATATGACGGCCAAGGGCTTCCTCATTCCAGAGGAAATGCCACCCTTCGTGAGGACGTAGTGAGTTGTAATATATGCTAGATGGGGTTAAGAATCAGACACCTCCCAGCCCCGACATCATCGGTCGAATCAAAGCGACCGGGGTATTTCAAGCCTCACCACACGGCGCTCCGAACCATGTCATTATGAATGAAGTAAGGTATACACTATGATCAGATTGTATGCATTCCTGACCACGCACAGTATCTCCCCGGTCAAGGCATCATGGTATGTCAGCGCACTTCCCATGACCGCGTTCACAGCATGACCTGATCCTGCCGAAGCCGCACGAGGACGGCCTGCATACTACCCTGTAGTGGCTACACTCTCGCTGGGCTCGCATGCACTTTTCCACTACTACGCTACAGACCCCAGAGTCTCTCAGCCAGAGAAGGTTCAGAGCCGGCTGACGGCCTGTCTACCGATAAGGGGAGGGCGATTGATCCTGCGCCTGTCCTCTCGCTCCTTCTCGAGCCCGGAGTGTGGTCATCACGGCGTCCAACATGTACAAATCACACTTGCACGGCATCGAGTACGTCACCGAGGACGTCTTTCCTCCCCCGTCTGCGGGAGATGACAACCATCCACTCACGCAAGTTGACAACGTGCACATGCTGACTGGAAGCGCGGAGAGGGATGCAATTGCACGTGGGGGCACTCTGCGAAGAGGAACTAGGTACAGTCTGACATGCCGTGATATCGAGAAGGTGGCAGGCGGCATACCGGTTCGGAAGAATTGACTGCGGTATGTACTTGTGGTATGTTGTGGCGTCGGTCGAAGGTATATGATCTGGTATGCAGATGGCTGATTGTTGTCATTAGTTGATGGGCTGGACTGCTCTGCCCACCGTCCATTCTAGAAGGGAAGACAGCCCACTAGCATCTACACCTTCCGAAGTGAACGCCGCGCCAATCTCATTCGTTGCACTAAGCATCCAAATATACAACACCAGTTGTGTCACTGCCTCCCCGGACCGGTTGCAGCATTCCTTCGTACTAGAAGTCGTGTCATTACCACCTAGCCTTGAACCCTATCTCTTGCTACATCACCCCTAGCCCTGCCTTCAGTTCCATCTCTAGCTCCGCGGCGTCCGCCTGTCCTACGCCGCTGCCTTCCTCCGCCACACAGCGGACGCAACGGCACGTCCCGAACCCCCACTCCATGAGCTGCCTCCTACGCTGCTCGACGGGCAGGCCAGGGTCTACATAAGTGATGCAGAGCTCCTCACCAGGCGCGATGTTGCGGCGCGCGACTACGGTGATCCGCGAGAGCGCTGTACGCTGGTCCATGTGGCGCACGGATATGTTCGGCGTGCACGAATGGTTGAGGTGCGAGTGGAGCACGTACAGGCCGCCGTGCGATTCCAGATCTGCGTAAGGGAGGTCCGTGACGGTGGGCGGCGCGGCACGGCGCGGGAAGTGGAGACTCACTAAGGCTCATGCGCCCGAGTCCACGCAGGAACGCGTCGTACTCGAAGAACTCGTCCGCGATCTCCTTTCCGAGCGGCTTCTTGAGCAGTCGCGCGAGGCGCTTCTTGTCTGGCACGGTCGCGGGCTCGTGGAACGCCTGTGTGAAGAGGCTGGAGGCCTTTGCCCACATCGCGCGGTCGGGCTGCACGCCTTTCATCCTTGAGCCAAAGGCCGATTCTATAATTCGCCAGTAACGGAATGTACACGAGGACGCGTGCCTACCATTCTCCTTTGGCACGCTCTTCCATGCCGAGCTGCGCGAACGACGTGAACACTTCCCAGTCCGCACGGAACGCTGCTTCGTCCTGTTCGTGCGTTAGCAGTATCCGCGCAGCGCACTGTGAAAGTGCATGCAGGGCCTGCCACTGATTCTGCCTCGCGAATGTCCTGAGGGGCGTGGAAGCCGGATTTTGGACAGGGCATAGTAAAGGATGGGTGCGCCTGGAGCGCGCGAGACATAGCCTGTTGCAAAATTTTGCGGGACAAGGAGTGCCGGAGGAGGAGGCCGGGCAGGACGTGGTGATCGGGGCGCTGTGGAGAGGCGTGCTGCAGTAAGAACACGCGACGGAGGACATTTGCAGGTCGTATATGTCCCTGATGTGCCTTTTTAGAGATGCCATCCGCCGCGCCATGCTTCATGCTCACTCACATTTCGGGGGCGAGGACGAACGGGTCTTCCTGCCATAGCACGTCGCCCTCTGCGATCGGTTCTTTGGCTACGAGTCCCTTCCCCTTGGTTCTGCCGAAGAAACGCACTTCGACGGTTGAGGTCCACTTGGCGACGTTTAGCCCCTCTATTACGCGCGAAGACGGCAATGGTAGGGCATCTTTCTGAAAGTTAGGATTTTTGGCAGCAGCAGCGGGACCTAGGACAAGGCCTTCGCTCTGCAAGATCTTCCTGGTGCGCTTCTCGCTAACCACCCAGGTTGGATGGGTGGACGTGAGGAGCGCATGTAATTTTGCGATACCAAGAGTCGGATTTTCTGCGCGGAGGACGATGAGGGCCTCCTTCAAGTCTGTTTCGGAGGGGATGACCGTGGCCGTGCTTGTTGCCATTTCCAATGTGGGGATTGAACCTTTGGCACCGTTGCAAGAGCCTGATCAAGGTGACCTGCCTGCAAATACACGGGTGACTCCAATCCGTACGATGGTGTGGCACATGATAACTGTCATCAATCGAGATCTACTAAGTACCGATCTATTCCTCGGATCTCCGAGTCGAAAGTAAGTGCTCCCATCCGAGTCCAAAGTTCCTCTGAATATTCTCTTGCACATGAACTTGAGGCAGAATTTGACATGCATATTACAAGTCAGTCTAGCTGAAGCTGTACGCGTTGATGCGCTGTAAAAGGGTGACAACTTACGATTGTCTATCTGAGAAAACACCGGGGTATCATCCAACGGAATTAGAATCAATGCTTCATTTTATTTTGTTTGGCTAGCTTGGGAAGCAGCTATACACAGCCTCTGGACAAACGGAGCCTTGCCGAACATAAGTTATCGACATTTTAATGACATGATGCAGAGGCGGAATTTCGTTGTCTGGCACATGCATGTGGAGGAACTTGAGAATGATAGCACATAAATATTGGTGGTTAATTTCTGCGGTACGTGCAGAACAGTTCGAATTTATCAACATTCTGGCAGACAAATTTTTCGCAGAGCAATTGACTATACTTGCAGACTGGCGCTTCTTGCGAGATTACGATCGACGCGACTCGGATGTCTCAGGCTGGCTATCGAATTACCCGCGCACTTGACGGAAGTCTTGGACTCTGGATACAGCTCATCTGCGCACGCAGTATGTTTGTGCATCAGGAGAATATTGGCCCAGGCAATTCGATGCTGCCTGGAACACCGGTTCACCATGATCGCGTCATCTACCTTCTCACCCACGAAACCTGACCAAGGCGCTCAAATATGTGTGCCCCAAGCTCTCTGTCCTCCCACCATGGCAGCCAACTTCTCGAGCATTCCCATCCTCGACTATGCAATCCTCGCCGATGCCGCTCGGCGGCCGGATTTCATCGCTCAGCTGCGCCACGTCCTCGTGAACGTCGGCTTCCTCTACCTCGCGAACCCGCCCGTCGCGCAAGCGGACATTGACGCTGTCGTCGAGTACGCCCCGAAGCTTTTCGCGCTTCCGCAGGAGGCCAAGAATGCAATCCGCATGGTCAACTCGGAGCACTTCTTCGGGTACACCGCACTCGGTGCGGAGCTCACCAAGGGCAAGACTGACCAGCGCGAGCAGTTCGACTTTGGCACGCCTTTCGAGAGCAGGTGGGTGCCCGGCGAGCCCGAGTATCTGCGTCTCTGGGGCGCCGTGCAGGTACGTGCCGCAGGTGTGTCGGGCATGCGAAATGTGTGGAGTGACACGGATAGTGCCTTCTGTAGTGGCCAGATGAGGAGCAGTTGCCCGGATTCAAAGACACGATGCTGCGCTACCTCAAGCAAGTCGAGCAGCTCAGCTATGCGTTCGTCGGGCTGATCGCGGAGGCGTTCGACCTCCCGCGCGATACACTTGCCACATATTTCGAGGCAGAGGGTTTCATGCAACATCGTGCAAAGGTCGTCAAGTATCCAGCACCGCTGGACAACGTCTCTTCGGACCAGGGCGTCGGCCCACACTTTGACGGGAGCTTCCTCACGTTCGTGCGTATCGCTCACCTTTGACACGCCGACTGGTACCACCGATGCTGCACCCTTAGCTCCTGCAAGCCTCGCCGCATCCCGGTCTGCAGGTGCAGAATCTCGCGGGGGAGTGGATCGACGCCCCACCGATCCCGGGCACCTTCGTTGTGAACATCGGAAAAGGCAGAGTCGGTGTTCCATCTCACTGAATGTGCTGCTAAGCTGTTACAAATAGCTTTGGAAATCGTAACCCAGGGCCTCGCCCGCGCGACATCCCATCGTGTGCTCTCACCAGCCAAGGGCTCTACCCCCCGCTATTCCGTTCCGTTCTTCCAGAACATATCCCCCCGTGTGTGTCTAGGGGATCTCACCATTCAGTGTGAGTCGCCCTTAACCTTGCCAAGTCTCTGGCTTTTTGA